TCATCATTTAAATATATTAACTGCCTCCAGAATTAGTAGTTATTGGGAGGAATATATTCATGGTATGAACCTTTTTTTTCTTTTTTGTCAAATGTCCTCATTTAGGTACAGAATAAATATAACTAAATTTTTATGTAACTGAAACAATAATAAAATTTTGAAAAATTAGAATTATAAGATTGAAGACACACTCAAAAGCACATTCCAAGGAGGTAAAGTAGCAGAATATAGAGCACAGTAATCAAGTGCTATATTATTTTCTCTTTACATGAAATGCTACTAAAAATTGCAATAATTATGAAACATTTAAAAATGAAAAACTGAATAGAATTTCAACCTGAAATTAGGTATGTGGTTAATTTAAAAAATACAATACACTTATATGAAAGTGTATTCTCTGTCTAGATTCATTGCATAATACGTTAAGATTAACTGTTTAAATTTAGGTCTCTCAGTTCCCTAGAGAATTTCTTAACTACACTAGTCATACCTCTTTTGAATTTATGGCCTTAGAGATTGAAACATTGGCAGACATATTCCTATTTTAATATGAGAATAATTAAGTAACATGATATTAAGAGATACCAACCTCCATTTTCTTTACATTAATTTAAAAGAAATGAAGCGAGACCTTATTAAACATGATTCTATTTTATCAAGGTCCTACAAGTATTAAAAAGACTTTGAAAGCAAAGAATTTAGTACATATTAGCAATTTAATGAGTTTCTATTTTTATTATCAGTCCCAGTAAGGGAAGTCAGGAGCTAAAATAAATAGTAAACCAATAATCTGAACCACAGAGAGGCACCGGCTACTTGGGAACCTATAATGTAAAGGAAGGCTCAAACAGTAGATGGGAATCTAGTCTATTTTCATAAACAATAGAATGTAAATTAATTTATATTTATTGATTACATGTATTTTGCAAATCATCATAACTTAAGGCTTTTTAAGAAATCAAAAATAAATGTGAGCTCAGCTTCAGAAAGGGCACAGAAAAACTTCTGAAGTTCTGTTCTTCTGAAGAAGCAATGAGAAACAGTAAAATATTAGAATCATTTTTACAGATTTCTGGAAATTAAATGTTTTAAGCAACTATAAAGCATTTATTTAAAAACAAAACAATAGGGCTGGGGATTTAGCTCAGTGGTTTTGCCACCTGCTGTGCAAGTGCAAGGACCAGAGTTTGATCCCCAGTACCAAAAACAAACAAACAAACAAAACCAAACAATATAATTTCAGTAAGAAAAAAATTTTGTAGCATTTTAACGTGTCTTATTACCCTCTCCAGAGTTCTCCCATAGCTTAAAAACATACATCCTAGAAATCATGGTAGTTCTGAAATTGAAATCAAGCACTTAAAACTCTTTGAGTGATGTAGACTGGACTTCAGCTCTCGAGAAAGCCTTATCTCAAGAAAATCACAATTATTTGACCTGTTGAAGGGATCCCTGGATAAATCTCTTTGGAATACCAGTCATTATTTGACCTGGTACATATCATTCTCATCAGAAAAAGCCCTAATCCAAGGTAATTAATGAAAATAACCAACAGTAAATTTTACAGTTTACAGCTGCCTCTGTTGGCAATGCTAGTTGTGGGAAACAGAAAACTAGTGCATAAATAAAAAAGATTTAAGGAATGAGAAGTTCGTGAAGAACTTTGAAAACATTCAATGCATTGCCAAATCCTAGAAGGACTTAATGAATATACTCAACTGTGTGCATGAACAGAAAGAATAACCTAATCTCTCAGGTACTAGATATGCCCACCTTAATACTCTGTGGTTAGAGTTGCAAATTGCCAGAGCATTGGAGGAGTGTCACAAAACACACAGAACTCCATGAGAAATTTAGAAGACTTTGCTGCAACTTATTTACAGAAATACTTTTCAAATCTTCAGGTGAATACTAAGTTAAGAAGCAGAGGCTTTTGTGGTTTCCTCAAGAAGAAACACAATATAAAATTACTTCAGGAAAATTACTAACAAAAATTGCTAGAATGATCTATTATAAATACATTCAAAGGACTGATGGAAGTCATGCTCAAAGAATTAACACGTCTTAGTAAATAGAGAAATTGATGGAGATATAAAAATAATATTGAAAATCAAATGAAACTCTGCACTTGCAAGGGGGAAAACTGAAATTTTTAAAAATTCATAGAAAAATTGAGCAACAAATTTGAGTTTGTTAAGAAAGAATAAGAGAATTTGAAGAATTTAGTTTATTTTCATAGAGCCACTAAGATTAGCCAAAGAAATAATAAATGAATGAAGAAAAATTAATGGAGTCTCTGAAACATGTGTAACACCACCAAATGTACCATCATACACGTAATGGAAATATCAGGAGAGCAGGAGAAGAAAGGAATAGAAAGAATATTTGAAGAAATAATGACTGAAAATTTCTCAAATTCAATGAAAACATTAACCTACAAATTTGATGACCTCCCCATGGGATAAATGAAAATAGACTTCTTTAAACATTATGGTTAAACTTAAAATCCTGAAACAGAATCTTGAAAACCAGGGAAAACTCATAAAGGATCAATAATATGAAAAACAGCTGATAAATCATAGTAAACCATGAAGGCCAGCAAGCAATAGAATTTTTCACATAATTTTTGACCATTTGGAACATTCAACACTATTTTCATTCTCACCTAGAGTGAATTGCATGTTTCTGTTGTTGTTTTATTTTTTAGTGACACACAGGAAAGTCATACATTTTCCAACACTTTCCAACCTTTTTCATATCAGGTGGAATTAAAATGGGTTAACACAAAGTATTCAATATCTGCATGAGAATTAATCTTGCTGCACGAAGAATGACAGAGTGAATGGAGGATTTTCAGGGTGAGTTCAGGCAAGAGGAAACATCCTAGCTTACAGTAACACATTGGAAGTGCTCCTAAGGTAGATTGCTGAAAATAAAGCTCTTAAAATAATCATGATGAAGTTACTAAAAACACGTTTGGTGGAAGCATTTTAGGGAATATTTGCCGTTAGAGATTGACTATGAAATACTGAAGATTTAAATGTAACTACTGAGACAGCAGAGCTTTGTCTTCTACATTGCACAGGCCTATACATATATATTACACTCCATCTTGCTCCTAGGTTATAGCTGAAGAAAATATTAATAGGAAGAATTATTTTATTTAAATAATTCCTATGAATATGTGTACAATGAAATTATGCAATGACCTGAAATAATACAAATAAAAAACTTCATAACTGAAATCAAAATATGTAAGCAACTTTAAGTTAACCATCCTCTTTTTATAGTGTTGCATGCAAGACTAGGAAGGCTTTTATTTAAGAATTATTTT